AAAATTTTTTTTAAACTTACACATATATTCTTTATATCTTAAAATATATTTTTACAAAAATATTTTTAAAATTACTTCTTAAAAATATTTTTAAACAATTTTTTTTTCAAAGTTATTTTGTGTAGATACCTAATCCAACATATTTGACGCAAAATTCCACAACATTTTATTAAGCTAACATGCCTTGCGCTATTAGAGAATCTTGTTCATAATATTCTAAAGAATATATCTATAAACATTCGTGAGTTTTGAATACTTCATTATTAAAAATAGATGAAAATGTTACGTGCCACTACTTTCGCCAGGAACTGTATTTATATTTAATAATAAAATAAATATTAAATATATTTATCTTTTTATTTGCTTTAATTTATCTTTTTATAATTATTTTATTAAATATTATTTTATAAAATAAATTATTTTATAGTTTTTATAGTATTTTTATTAATAATTTTAATATAGATTCTTTTTATTCTTTTATAAGATTTTTAATTATAAAAGAATTAAATTAATAAATATTATTATTTTTCTTATATTAATTCTTTAAATAAAAAAACTTTTTTTATTTAATATTATAAAATTTAGTTAACTAATATTTTATTAATTATAATTATTATACTTTTTAATAATATTTAAACTTTTTATTTATTATTAAAAATATTTATTATAATTGTAATTAAGAATTATAATTATAATTATAATTATAAAAATAAATTACAATTCTAAATAATAATTTAATTTTACTATATTATTTTTTTATATTAAATATTATTTCTTTTCAAAAAACTATAAAAAAATTTCTTGATTAAAAATATTAATATTTTTTTAGCTTATTTAATAAGCTTATTTATATAATAAAATTTTATTATATATAAGTTAATTTATTTTATTAATTATTAGTAAAGTTAATTTTTTTTAAAAAATATTATATAAAAGCAAATATAAAAAAATTTTATGAATTAATATAAAAAGATTTGTATTTCAAATAAATATTAATAGCTTATTTTTTCAAAATAAAATTTAATTCTATCTTATTTAATTAAGTTATTAGATATTAAAATTTATTTAAATATAAATATTTTTATTATATATTTTTTATAAAAAAATTTTACTAATAATAATTTTTCAATTATTATTTCTTAAATTTTACTATATAAAATTTAATTAAAATTAATATAAAAATTATAAAAATTATATAATAAATAATTTAATTACTTAATTTTAAATCTTAATATCTTTATAATTATTAATTTAATTTTTATAAAATTTAAAATATATATTTATCGAATCTAAAGTAATCTGCTTGTATAATTTGAAGTTTTAATATTATAAATTAATAGTAATAATATTTAAAATATCTTTTTTTAAAAAAAAGAATTTTATTTTAGTTTTTTTTAGTAAAGTAATACTTTATTTATTATTGAATTAAAGTATAATAAAATAATTAAAATAATATAAAAAGTTAATTTAGATTATTCTTTACTTAATATAAAAAAATTATAAAGATTGATTAAAATTTAAATGATTTTTATTAGAAGTAATTATTAATTTTTATATTGATATACCAATCTTTTTGTACCAGTCTATAATTTTAAATAAAAATATTATAACTCTTTTTTAAATATAAATACAATTAGATCTTTTTATAATTATAGTTCTTTATAATTATCTTTTTTTATAATTATTTTTTAAGTTTCTTAGTTATTTATTAATTATAATTAAAAAAATCTCTTTATAATTACATCTCTCTTTAATTATTTAATTTTACTTTTCAAGTATAATAACCATAAAAAGATCTGATTAATTTATAATTTTATAAAAAAATTAAATATATAATTCTTGAAAAAATTATTTAGCTATTAAATTAAATTTAAAGAATATTAATTATAATTAAAAAATTAGATAATAATATTTTTTGAATTTAATTTAGTAAATAATAAGAAATTATATTTTAAAGTTAAGAAAAATTTTATTTTGAAAGCTAAAATTAAAAAACTAAATATATTTAAATATTTATAAAGAGATTAATATTTTGTATATAAATATATTGTAAGATTAATTAAATATTTTATATAATTGAATTTATAATATTATTAATATGTGATTATATTATATATAAATAAATAAAACTACTATTAAAAAATTTTATATAAAAAATTTTATGCTTTTAATATTAAAATCTTTATTATAATAAAGTAGTTAAATAATATTTAAATATTTGTTTTATAAAGTATTTTTTGAGATATCAAAGATTATTTACAAACATTAAAATTGAATATTTTTAAAAAATACTTAATATTTCAAAGAATACAATATATTAAAAAATCTATCTTTATTTATTAATTAAAATTATTTAGCTAATACTATTATAATTATTCAAAATATTATTTAAAATAATGTATATATCTTAAGATATAAAACAGATACATAAATAAAAGTTTACTTTGAAATTTAAAAATAATTCTGTCAGAATTGTAAGATAATTTATTATCAATCAGATCAGAAGTCAATATGAGACAATCCGAATCCGAATCGATCCTTTGGATTCGGTTCAGATTTCGGATTGACCCGAATTTATCGGACGGAACATCGTTAATTGTTATAGTAAGAAGTTACCCACAATCAACCTTATATGAATAATGAACAAAAATTTAAAAATTTAAAAGAAAAAGTTTTTATCTAAAATTAAAAACATAGCAAATAAAAATCCAAAGAGAAATACTAAATCGGTTTGAATTCACGCTTTTGAAATTTGCTATTCCACTAGTGTTATTAAGTTAGTCAAAAGATTATGAACAAAACTTTTGGAGAGCAATTTAATTTTTGACAGAGGTTTTTTCACCGCCTGGTCTGATTCTGTTTTGCTGCAATCTGAAACAATTGATTTGTTGGATTCAGTGTATTGTTGTATTGTTATTCGTCTAAAATGTCCTTTTGATCTATTTTTGTGTTTTCTGGCAAAATTCGAGTAAAATTTTTTTATCGTTATCGCTATCGATACTGTATTTGGCTGCATGCAGCATTACTATGGGCGCGCATATGGTCGATTATATACATGCAAGTTGCTAAAATAGGTTAAAGCTGGACATTACTTTCGCCAATAAACGAGCATTTTTTTTATCTATGGATGAAAAGAGAGCAGGTTCCTTCGTTGACGAACGATTAATTAATTTAATTGATATCGATATTAGGCAATATTACTTAATGGTCAATTGAACATTTAAAGTGAATTCGAAAAATAAAAATATTATTGGGGAGATTGTCTCCTGCAGGGAAAATTAGTCTAACGCGTGTTTGTTTAGCTAATAGCTTGGTGAGCTTTTTTTTCTTTTCGTCTCTTAAAATTTGAAAACATAGATAAAAGACATACGTTGAACGAAGGATCTCGACAGCTTTTTCTCTTCAAATCTTCTCTTCCTTTTACTCTCTCTCTCTTCCCCTTTTTTCTTTAATAAATCAATTAATCAACATAAGTTCTCTTTTTTAAAACAACCAAAATGAAGATTCCTCTAATCCCTGTTCTTTTCTTGCTCGCAACCGTTTCTTTAGCAACTGTAGCATCAGTTGAATCAACTTCATCGAATACAAAAGATATTTCAAGTGGAACTGCTCAAATTATAAAACCTCATCCTCAACATAAAACAGAAACTAAAAAAGGTTATAATGCTCAACATAAAAGAGAAATTAAAAAGAAATATCCTCACCTCAAATCAGAGCAGGAAAAAGATCATCAAGAAGATCATCAACGAAAATATCATACAAAGCGTGTCAAGAGTCGTTTCGGTGCCAATAGAGTGACACATCCCACTAATGTTCAACTCGATTCGGTTGATGATAGCTCCGATAATTCCGATAATACAATCTAAAAGAAACCTTATTATAGAAAAGGGAATTCTATAAATTTCAAGATTTATTGCAAGCGATAAATTTTTAATAAGTCTACTCGAAAAAGTATAAGAAAATTAGATAGAATGATATACATGTAATTTATTTTTGGTTAATCAATAATAATAATTAATTTGTGAATAGTATGAACAATAACCATTGTCGTTATCGTTATAGAAATGTACATCGCATGTTACCAATCAACAAATCATAAACAAACCTTTTTATCCAATAACGATAATAATAAGATTAGGATTTTACATGTACATGCACTGTGCTGTCTTTGGCAGATAAAGAACAGAACATATTGAATATTTCGAAATTTTATATCTGAAAACAAAAGACACTCAGTGTTTCCTTAGAACTTTTGTTCTTGCTATTGACGCATCTTTTTTTTAATTAAATTAGAAGTGATAACTCATAAAATTCGTTGAAACAGTACTTATCTTTTTCCAATAAACGACATTTTTCTCGTGAAAATTCATTCTTAAAAATGCTATATTACAAAATATGGTATTAAACTTAAATTCTTACCTATTTTGATAGCTACGTTTTCATTAAATTGTATTAATATTTGATTACTTGATGTAGTGAGCCGAATCAATATATGGTGACCACCGGAGCTATGATTAAAGGTAATTTTTGTGTGATTTAAATCACTCATGTTAATATCAAATTTAACGAAACATTATTTTTCTTCCGGTAATAGATGTTAAGATAAGCAAAAAGGGATGGGTATTACCTAGTCAACGATATCAGTTCTTTGATATCACCCCGGTCAATTATACTCTGGATCTTACGGTGATGAGTGCTGAAAAACTGGAATTCAATTTACCAGCAGTGTTCACTATTGGGCCGAAGGATGACGGAGAAAGTCTAATCCGATATGCGAGATTATTGGTAATTGTAAAAAATCAAACCACTTTGACAGTAAAATAATAATTTAATACGCATATAGGCTGCCAAAGACACGAAATCCGATCAGATTATACGAGGTATCATTGCAGTAGGTATTAGGATTAGATGAAGGCAACATTAAAGAGATCTTTTATGAGAAATAATTGAATTGATTTTGGAAATTAGGGTGAAACAAGATCTATTGCGGCTGCGATGACTATGGAAGAAATTTTTTTGGAAAGAAAGCAATTTAAACAACACGGTAAATATAAAGATTGCATAAAGCAATTATTGAATATCAAGCTTTGCTTTCTAATGTTCAATTTTTTATCATGTAGTAATTGAGAACGTTCAAGCTGAACTCGACCAATTTGGTCTTCATATTTACAACTGTAACGTTAAACAGCTGCAAGATTCTCCTGGATCTGAATACTTCAAATACATGGTAACAAAGACATTTGCTTACTTGCAATTTCTCTATTGCAATAAAATTCGGCTACCTTATATTCTCAACAAATAAAAATTCACGCGTCGCCTTATTTTTTCAATAAATAAAAATTCACAGCGTATGAAAACTCACGAAGGTGCCGTAAATAGCGCAAAAGTCGATGTAGCTGAGGCACGTTATCGTGGTGATGTGGGTGCCAAAGAACGAGAAGGCAAAACACGTTGTGAAAATGCACAAATCGAAGCAGATACAATAGCTATTGAAAATGAGCTAAAAGCTGTGATTGCTGAGGCTGAAATGAATTTATCCACAAAGAAATCAGAGTTTGAACGGAAAACCAAAATCGCTGCTATTGAGCGTGATCAAGCTGCAAAGATACGTCAGTCGGAACTCCAGAAAGAAGTTGAAACACTTCGTATGGCGTCCGAGACGGAACGGTTACGTGTAGCTATGGTAGCGAAAGCTCAAGCCGAGAAAGAAGCTTCTAATACCGGGGCTGATTCGTTACTCTACACAAAACAAAAAGCCGCCGAAGCTGAATTGGTTAAGAGACAAAAAGAATCTGAAGGTCTCTTGTCTTTATATAATGCTCAAGCGGATGGCGTAGAAAATCTTATGTCAGCCTTTGGTGATGCATCTTCGGCAGTTCAATACATTATGATTGAACGCGGACTCTTTGCACAACTGGCTAAAGAGAATGCGGAAGCTGTAAGAGGGTTGAATCCCCAAATAACTGTTTGGAATACGGCTGGTCAGGGAACCGCGAATAATCCAGTGGCTAATCTCATACAAGTATATAAATTTTAGAAAATATGTTTTTACGCATTATGCATAACTTCATAAATTTATAAAATTTGCTCATTTCATGTATTCAGAATCTTCCACCATTGCTTTCAACTATCCAAGATCAAACTGGCATTTCGCCGCCATCGTGGCTCGCTGATATGTCAAAGACCACCAGCTAGTTCATCTAAATAAGAAATTATACATTTGAGTTTGTACATGTACATGTATAGCACAATATTTTTTTATTATGTATTATTTATATTCTAACGTACATGTAATTTAATGTTAACATTTACATATTGATAAATAATCTTATTATACGTATCGAGTAATTCTAAAATTAATTTTTGATCTAACAATCTGATCAAAAGAGAGCCCACCAATACAGGAAACTCCCGCAATATAATTTTCTGCCTAATAATACTACTATAGCAGGAGTTTAATTAATATCTTTGTACATTTGTTAATTTTTAATTAGTGACTTATATAATGATACCGATGATGTCATACGAAACCAAGAAAAAAAGTAATATTTTTAATTGCGCACATTGCTTATCTATATTCTATGACATTTCTTGCAGCAGATAACATTAAATGTATTAAATCAATGCTCTACCTAAAAATTCCAACATGAATTTTGACGCCCATAGATTTTCTAATTATAGGATAATAACAAGCAAACCAGGTTTTTTGAAGTCCAAGTATGGGACGTAAAGATTTTTCTTTAACAAAAATGGGCCAAAACGAACATGAATTTAATTGGTTTTCCATATCTTTAACTTCTAAATTTTTTGTTTGAGTGCAGAAATCTTCAAATTCTCACGCTTGCGGTGCATACTTCCTGCGCCATTGCAGTTAAATGTCGAAAAAAAAACCTGGTTTTAATTATTGTTTTTCCTCCAGACTAAATTTTCGAATGTATGCACATAGATCAAATATGCATAAGTATGCATTTAATATCTGAGTTGTATAAAGAAAATATGTATGGGATATGAACTTTGTTACCTAGTGCCACCTGCTACTATCCTAAATTCAATTAGATTGGTGCATTATTCTTAAATTGTAATTGGTAAACAAACAATGCACATCATTTCAATTTTTGGAAGCACAGAAGAACAGCTGACATGTTTTTCTGTTCTCTCGTTCTCGGATCAATTTAACTTATAAGAAAAAATAAATGAATGAACTCTAAACTTAGATTCCAATCAATTATCTTGTCAAAGGGATGTTTGAATTCTGAGTGGTGCATTTTTGCATTTCTTTTCAATTAACTGCAATACGTACAATAAGTTTATGGTGAACATGAATGCCTTACTATGTTTTTGTATTACTAAATTATTCGATGTATGTTAGAGAATATGTTCGCGTCCATTATAAAGAAATTGTTACCCGATTGAATAAACATAAAAAATCAATCAATCAATCAATCAGTAAAATCAATTAAATTATAATCACATAATCCTTAGGCTAATTAGATCAAATGTGAGTTGGCTAGTTATCACTCATTACTCTTTCCCTCTTTCTTTCACTCTTTCCTTTTTCGCACATCGAATATATTATCATTTCGCATATCGAATATACTGTCATAAAATATTATATTGTAATTTATTTTCTGTCATTACCCTTCATCTTAACCTGTGTCTGTGTCAATAAGGTTAACTGGAACGCGGATTATTTAATCTTGGCTTTTCACCCCACAAATTATTCAACGACACTATATCGATTTAATACTTATATATAGTGCGTAGTGAGTGTGCGGGTCGTATATGCTTAGGTGTGCGGAATATCCTAAAGGACACATACATCACAAAAACAACAATAGCATTTATTCTTGATGACTACTACTTAAAAGCCAGTGATACATCATATTAATCCATCTAAAAACACCAACACACACTCTCACATTTACACACTCTCTTTACTCTTGCTGGAATTTTAGCAATTTATCAATTTAATCATTTTTATTCATCATCGTTTCAATTGCAACCTAACGGTAAAACGTTTATTGATTTAATTCTCATATATTTTTCATATCGAATGAATATTGAATCTTTTTTCTTTATCTAGCATCTATAGGCATATAATACAAGAACAATGGATTTAGTTGAAAGTGAATTTGTTTCAGTAGAGGAAGTAACGATGCGAAAACGTCGTTCAAAATTTGGTATTTGTTTAGAATGTCATCAACCGAGAACAGGTGATAGCTGGTGTCAACCATGTAATGCTAGACGACTAGCAGCCATGTTTCCAACATGGACAAGTGGAGATAAAGAAATTGATGAATTCATACGACACACCCAATTAACAGCCTGCAATAGATCTGAGTTGTTACAGTGGATTGATTATAGTCGTTTAGATGGAATACAGAAAATTGGTGCTGGCGGATATGGAACCGTTTATAAAGCTACGTGGAATGCTGGTCGAGGATCAAATTTAGTGGCAGTTCAACATCGATGGCAACATGAATCACGATTAATTGTGGTCGCTTTAAAAACTTTACTTAATTCGGAAAGTAATGAGGAATTAATGCACGAGGTAAATTTCGCTATTTTCGCATTCATTTTAACCCTAAATTTTATTGATTCGATCTTTATTCTTTAGTCAAAACTGATACTTCAATCGATCAAAGTACATTTAAGAGCATTTCAATGTCATGGCGTCACAAGAAATCCAACAACAAAACAATATATGATGGTAGTTCAGTATGTATCACAAGTGCCGACAGGCGAATTAAAAAATTATTTAAATCGAGGATTCCAAGATTTACGGTGGAGAAACCGGATCGTTAATTTATTATATATTGCTTCCGACTTAAAAGTTTTGCATCAAGTTGGATTAGTTCATGGTGACTTAAATTCCGGTAATTTATTAGTTCACGGAACAGCGTTAAATGGAATACGAGGAACACGGCAGCCATCTAAAGCAAATTCGCCGCCTTTATCGAATGGGAAAAGAGAAGTTCGCGGTGTAATGCCTTACGTAGCACCAGAAGTATTAGAAGGTGAAGTTTACACACAGGCATCGGATATATACAGTTTTGGTATTTTGATGTGGGAATCGACGAGCGGTGGAGAAAGGCCTTTTTGTGATGTTCCACACGACGCAAATTTAGCAATGAACATTTGTGATGGCCTTCGTCCAAAAATCATTGATGGAACTCCTCCACTTTTCGCCGAATTAATGAAAAGTTGCTGGGACGAAGACCTGCGCAATCGTCCAACTGCCGATGAAATTTTCGAAATTTTTTCCGGATGGGATGAAGATTTACAGAATGGAAATGTGGATTCCGAGATATTTATTCAGTTTGAAGAAGCGGAACTCAAACGACAAGAAGCTGCACGAAAATTCCCGAAGCCTCCGAAGAAACCAACACATCCTTTGGCTGTTTATCACAGCCGATTACTTTCTGTAGTTTCAATTTCTGAAAATGGCAAAAAGAATGGAAGAGCAGAAACAGTTTATTTCGACGCTGAGCCAAGCGAGGGTAATAAACATTATTTATTTTTCTTTTGAATTTGAGTAGAATTAATAGCTTAAATACTAAATCTTGTAATTCTATAAAATTATAAAGAACCTGAATTTATTAACCAAGACCTTGCGCTTAAACATCTTGTTCCCGCCAAAAGTCTACCTCGCCCTGCAACTATATATCAAAGACGAAGTCTTCCAAATTTTGCAGCATCTAGTATTGTAAGTCGACTAAGTGCTCGTAAAAGCACTTCAAATATTAGCAGCAAAACCACCAGGATGAGCAATCGTATGGCTACTATTTACTTTGATGCTGAATTAGCTGAAGGTTTGTTTCACAAATACGTTTTTTGCTTTCTTAAATCAACTCGCATTAACTGATATATTATATTAAATAGATGAGGAACTTGTTCCCACCCGACCCCGCTCTAAATGGAAACAACCAGGCGAAGGTGATGTACCACCACTGCCACCTTTGCCACCACTTATTGTGCAAACTTCAAATGGTAAAAAATTTTTTTCTTAACCTAATATTTGAAAGAATAGTCTATTAACATGTAGTTCTGTAAAACAGGTTCATTGGACAAAACTGATAGTAATGCATCGACAGTTTCTTCGCCACAAAGCGAAAATTTACCTACACCTATAGAGTGTCCAAGTTCTCCACGAGGAGAGGATGCCATCACTTGCAAAGGAAAAGAAAGTGACTATGCTAAACAATTTAACTCGGAATCAACAACAGCAACACAATCAGCACAAAAAGGTATTTACCTGCTTTCCATTATACATCAATTTAAATTCGCAATATTAACTTTTCTTATTATAAAGATAACAAAGAGGTGGACCTTATTCATAAAGATGATAATAATGCTGAAGCTGAACTCATTACTAAAGATAATGAAGATGTTGACATTATTAAAGATAGTAAAGATGTTGACCTTATCAATGAAGATGTCGATCTTGTTAGTAAAGATAATAAAAACGTCGACCTTATTAATAAAGATAATAAAGACGTCGATCTTATTAGCAAAGATAATAAAGATGCTGAACCAACAGCGACAGTGGCAACACAAATGACACAATCCGCAGAGAACGTGCAATCCGCACAATCCACTGAAACAACAGTCCGACCAAGGAAAAGTAAAGAAAATGAACGACCAATATCAAAAAGATCATATCAATCCCGGATTTCAAGGGCTAGCAGCAGATTAGTTAGTGACAGAATAGCTAGAAACACAATTGTTAGCGGCAGAATGTTTAACGACAAGATTATTAACGATAAAATAGTTAACAACCCAATTGTCAACGATAAAATAGTTAACGACAGCCCTAGTGAAGATTCAGAATGGGTTAAAGAGGTTGTATTATCAATGAAGACTCCACATGACGAAGACAAGAGTGCAATTTCAAACTCTTCACAACCAAAGACTGGTATGTTAACAGTTTTAAATAAAACCTATCGTTATTTGCATGATTTTCTTAATAATAAATATTTTTGCTTCAAGATATAGTAAAAAGTAGCGCTGTATCCAAAGTTTCAGTTGAACCACCGAAACTATTGGATATTCCACCGGGTTTGCAGAATCAAGGAAGATTCGAGAAATCGGAGCACACAATACAAATACCGAAAAAACGAAGATTCAAATTTATTCGACGAATTTTCAAAAAACTTTCATTAAGATTGTTTAGATGTGGCGCCAACAAAAAAGATATTTCTTTAGAGGAATTTGAGGAATGGTAGTAGCATAAATGCAAGTGTTTAGAAATAATAAAAATAGCTAAAAACAAAAAAGTCTTTCTTCGGTGAAGAGGATGCATTTTTTATTTTTTTTTGGCAAAAAGTAATTTTTTTAATATTATTCCCCTGTGTAGTATATATATCATTTTTTTCATTACCTTTACAAAGAAAGAGAGTATTTTTTTAAAAAATTATTAATTTAATAATTTATATTTTATACAAGAGAGAACGAAACAAAAATTGTTTAATAGATAGATTAGAATTTAACGTTAATAATCATTGTCATTCCTTTTACATGTATTATGTCATTGCCAGCAAATTATACGAAAAGACATTGTTGTTTGAAACCAAAACTGCAAAAATCAATAAATATACCTTGTCTTCCAAATGAATAAAATATCGGCCCTTTGCATGATATTATGAAATAAAGAACCTCTATCACCATGTTTATGTACATGTATTCAATATTACCCAACATTTGATGGCTGCATGGCAATTAAAAAAAAAGGGGCATTAACGTTAACGATGTGTCTTTATAACCAAAAATAACCAATGAATTATCACTTTAACGTTATACACTGTACATATATGCATAAATAAGAGTATAAAAAATTAATTATCATTTACTTAATGTTATCGTTGTCTTTATTGTTATTGTTATCGTTATTTTTATCGTTATCGCTATTCGTATTTATAGTTTCCTTTTGAACGTGTGAACAGCTCAATCCCTTAACGTTAATTAATATCGATATTTGATCAAAAATTAAGGTACAAAATTGATCAACTGTAAATATTACCAATTTAGAAAAAACTTATCAGTCGAGTTACCGTTACTGGCTGAAGATTCTTTAAAAACTACAAGCACTATAATATACAAAATAAAATAATTAGTAAGAAAAAGGTACTAAATTTTGTCTAGCTTAGCAAGATTTAGCAACACATCTTGTGTCATAAGAATGCTAACATAGAAAGTGAAGTTGGCTTTCAGCGATGATTTTCTATAGTAAACTATGTAAATTTGAGCGAACGACTGTCGATCTCTTAATTAATACACTTGCTCAAAACATTTGACATAGCAATCCGTTATTTTTTATTCTCTATCAGATTGCTAGCTTAGCTCGATAATTATCATAATACATGTAATTAGTTCCAAAACACCAGTTTTAAAACTGGCATTAACTATTTGTCTATTGCAAACTAAACTACCTATGAATCTGAACCATTACAAATCTTGTACTTAGAGGTGAATGTCTAACGATGCTACTTTGTGGAAGTAGTTCACATCGTCTGTATTTATTATTACTATTATTATTACATGTATTAATATCGAATTAACACATATTAGAGGCAGAACAACCGATTTCGTTATATAGTGGGAAGCTACTAATAAATATAACGAAATATAAAATTTTATTAATAAATGATCTTTTTATTAAAAAAAAATTTTAAAAATTATATGTAAAATATATAGAACTCTGAGAAATTTTTATTATAAAATTGAACTTTCGTTAAAAAGAAAATCTTGTATTTATTATGTTTTTATTAGTAGCCATTTTATAACTATAACTTCAGCCTTGATAGATAATTGTTACTGTAATAAATACATTTGCGACGAATTTGAAAAGACAAAGAAGCTCAATTTTATAAGAAATATAAATAAAAAGACAGTTTATTGAGCTTTTGCAAGTGATTTTATATTTTTCTTGTTATTATAATATTATGTAATTGAATTATTTATGAGAATATAATAAATTTTTAGACCTATATTTGAAGAATATCTAAACTGTGTGATTATAATTCTCAATTTCTGCGCCAATTTTTGAACAAAAAATAATCATGAAAACAGAAGATAAATAGTTTGAATTTTACTTTTATATAGTTTTTCTATTGTTCTTGATTCAAATTCTAATGAGTTATTTTTTCTAGTAAAGTTCTAAATTTTTATAATTAAACATATTAACTAATTATTTTATTTGTAAAGTCAATTTTCTATTCAATATTTTCTAATCAAAGAATTCTAATCAATGAATAATATAATATTTATTAATAGAGAGACAAGAGTTATATATAATTCTGAGCAGAGTTTATTAAAGACTCTTCATATAATAATTACTTAAAAAATAATTAATTACAGTGACAAACATTGATTAATGCGTATTTTTCTCTGTATATAAAATTTTTAATTTACTAGCAAAGATTTTTTATTTTTAGCTTAAAAATAGCTAAAGTTCTCTAGTTTAATATATGATTTTTTACTGGAAATTTGTTTATATTACATATGAAATCAATTAATTTTATTAATTAACTTTATATGCAATATAAACAGAATTTCTGATAAAAAAATATATTTTTAATTAGAGAACTTTAATTATATTTTGAGTTAAAAACAAAAACTATTAGTTAATAAAATTAAAAACTTTATATATAAGAAAAAATACATATAATTAATAAAAAAATTCAAATATTACATTGATTATAATATATATAATTATTTCTTTTTTATTATTTTAATAATAATTTTATATTTTTAAAATTTCTTAATAAAAAAAATAAATAAATAAAATATAAATATATATATTATTTATATTTAAATTTTATTATTTAATAATTTTTATTCAAATAATAACTAAATATAATTATCATATTTTTTAATATTATAATTTTTATATAAGTTTTTTATTAATATAAATTTTAAATTTTAAATAATATTTAAAAGATTATAATCAAGAGTCAAAAATTTTATTTTTAATAACTTTTTTTGAATACTAATTAAATGTTTTTTATTTTTAATAAGAAATTGAATTTGCTAAGAATATTTTTAGAAATAATTTAATATATTAAAATATATTATTAAATATTAGAATATAATAGATAATTATATATATTAGCAAGAGTTATAAAAGTTATAATTAAGATATTTCTTGAAGAATTAATATTAATATCTATTTATATTTTTGATATTTTAATTTATAATTGCAATATCAACTTTTTTTTTATTAATAATAATTATTAAATTTGTATCTATAATTAAGATACTTAATATGATTCCTAAATATAAATGTAATTTTTTTAGATAATACCAAATTCTTTTTACTTGATATAGTTTTTTATAAGACTCTTAGCTTCTTTTTAATAATGTAAACTTAAAATTAATATAAAAATTTATATATCTATAGATAGATAAGATAAGTAAAAATTGAAATATATTTTTAAATATTTAATTTTATTATTTCAGAGTTTTAACAGACTTGATAGCATAATTTAGATACTTTTTTTATAATAAAAAAGTATTATAATATTATGAAAAAACATAAAATTTATTAATAAGACTATAAAAATTTTTATTTATATTATTATAAAGTACTTAATTAGAAATAAATTCTATATTAAGAGTAGGTTCTATATTATAAATAAAAAAACTTTTTAAAATTATAATATATATTTTTTATTATTATTTATAGCTATTTATTTAAATATTTTTTCTTTATTTATATCTATTAATTTTGAATTTAATATAAGAATAATTATATATTAATATTTAAAAAGAAAAATATTATTATATTATAAATTAAAATATTAATAAATATAACAAGAGAATTATTATTTTGAATAATTTTTATTTATAAAGTTATATAAAATTATTTTGTTAATAATTATAAACAAGATAAAATACAATATAAATAATTTTAATTTATAAACTTATAATTTTATTATTTGAATAATATTCAGATTTAAAGTTATTTTACAGAAGAAATAGATCTTATTTATAAGAAATAAATAAATATAAAAAATAAATAAATTAATAATAATTCTATTTTTAAAATATATATAATTAAATAAATTCATTATCTAGTAAAACTTATACTAGTTTGTTATTTACTTAACTATTAAACTTTAATAATCTTTCACAGTTATTTTTTAAATAAGCAAATTTTATTTTTTTATTTTGATATAAGAATTTTTCTTAATAATTTTTTGTATTTATAATTTTAATTTTTGATTTAAAATAATAGTTCTTTATAAAATAACTAGATTTTTTATAGTTATAATATATATTTTTAGACTTATTATTTTTTAGTTATTATTATTTTTTCTGCTATTATAATAACTTTCTGCTTGATTTAACTTTATTAATATAAAATTATTATTTTAGTAACTTTTGTATTAATTTTGTAAGTGATAATTATTATTATTATATTTACTTGATAGATCTAATGATTTGTCTTATTTATAGATAGTAATATTATTACGGCGAATCGGTAAGTGGATTTTCACTTTGATTCACCCTAATGATATAGGGTTGGGAGAGACTGAAATAATAAAAGGTAAAGAGAGGG